CCACCCTCCGTGTTTCCATGCCTGGTCTATTATATTCCAAGTCATAGCCTTACCTTAGTTTATTCCCAGTTTAGGTTTCTGTTTAGTTATTGCTCTTGTGCTGCCCTTATTCTGGTTTGCTTCTGTTGTATTCATCAGCCACAATAAAAGGCTCGCTTTTGTTTAAGTCCACTTCCTTATCACTCGTGTCTGCACCTGAGTCCTCCACGCACTTTCCACTCGGTCCGTCACAGCGGACCGTGACAGCATTCTCAGTGGACGCATCCTATGAAGGGTGCCATTGATGGCCTGCTAACAAAGAACCTCAGGCAAAAAAGATTTCCTCACCATGAACAGTAGTGATGGGATTTCTGGCTGTTTTTGCTCGGCTCACTAAAACGAGCCGGCTCTTTCGGCTCCGAAACAGCTCTTCAGGTTGTTTTGTTGCTTTAATTAATTTATTATTAACAATAATATAAAATTATGCACAAAAGGAATTACTAATGTAAAAAAAAAAGTCATTTTATTTATATATGTTTATATATGAATATATGCGGTGGCCCCTAGAGACAAAACACGTACAAACTCCAAAACACATTTCTAGTGTTAACTGAACTTCCAAAACAGAGCTACCTAGATCACTTAAATTACACAATTGAAAGCATATGTGTATTGTTTGTGTATTTATACACAAGCACTCATATATATTCAAATAATAAAAAAAAATGTTTACCTGTTATTACCACACACCGAATCCGGCCGTTGGTACTTCCTGGCTTGTGTAGCCACTAGGTAACAAAAGCTCAACACTGCGCCCAGCATCCTGGAGCACTTCTGTTGTCTTTTGTACGTGTTTTGGAGTTTGTACGGGCGTCGGAGTTTGTACATGTTTTGGAGTTTGTACGTGCTTTGTCTGTAGGGGCCACCGTAAATATACTTTTATTTATTCACTCCACATAAAATGTAATAAATAAATCATATAATACAAAAACCTACTAGTCACAGTTCAACTTTTAACTATTTAAATTTTCAGCTTTTTCCTTTTAAACCAATTTAAAGTGAAACAACACAAAACACTGCAAACCACAACACAATTAAATATAAATTAAAATATGAAAACAAAAAGAAGATGCACATTCTCTGTCATATGGGCCTGCATGAATAAACTTCCTGAGTCCTTTATCATCCGCAACTGAAAATAGTTGTGGATGATTACTATACCTTTCTAATGTGACGTTGTTGTTCCTGGCTCTCTTTCTCTCTCTCTCCCTCCTGCTCTGTTCCTGTGCTACTGCCAGTGTAACTACCGCCCCTCCCCCCTCTTCCCATCGCAAAGCACAAGGCTTGCGTGCGGAGTGAAGCGGGAAAAAAGTGCGAGAGAGTGGGGGAGAGAAAGAAAAAAACCCCACAGCTCCCAATAAGGAGCCGGCTCGTGTCAAAGAACCAGCTCTAAGGCTACGTTCACACTGCAGGTCTTAATGCTCAATTCCGATTTTTTGATCAAATCCGATTTTTTTGTCTGCTCGTTCACACTACAAATAAAATGCGACAGCAAACGCTCTCTAGTGTGAACGCTCAAAGCGGCCCGCATGCGCAAAAGAAGACGTCATACACAACGCGCTCTGTTTAGACCCAGAACAAACTATATTGTTTGACTGATGGCCCTTAATATAAAGACTTCGGACTTCATGTTTCCCGATTTTTGCTTTAAGTTATTTTGTTATTTACATAATAATGTAGATAACCTAATAATGATCCTTATTGCTGTTTTAGAGGAGCGGTGCTTCAAAGGATAGTTGCAGATTTCTGTCAGAACCTGCAGGTTATGCAGTACAAATAAAATGTTAACGTTTCTCCAACGTTGTCTTCCCAGCAGTTTCACCGGATGGCCAGAAAGCGTTCGCGATGTCTTCTCTGGCGCTGATAATTGGCGTCTGTCTTGTGTCAGTGACGTAAAAGACGGATTTAATGCGACTTGACCGTTCACACAGCAGTCGCTTTCTGAGACATCGGATATGTATCGGATTCAGTACCACATACGAAAGTGACCCAGATCGGATTTGAAAATATCGGATTTGTGCCGTTCACACTGTCACACCATGATCGGATATGAGTCGCATAGGGTCAAAAAAATCGGATTTGATGCGCTTTCACCTGCAGTGTGAACGTAGCCTAAGAGCCGTTTCGTTCGTGACTGACACATCACTAATGAACAGGCTGCCTCCAGGGATCCCAGTAGCCTCTTACACCCCATCAACAAAGGTCACATCTTGCACTGTGTAGAAGACTAACTTCTGAACACCAGTTCAGAGAAACTCTTGTAGACTCAGCAGTTGTTTTTTTGTTTGTTTGTTTGTTTGTTTTTTTTTGGGGGGGGGGGGGGGCAGAGGGGAAGAGGGACAGTGAGAAAGGCCATTAAAAAAGACCAAAATCTCTTGGATCACCTGTTGAGAGAGGAAAAAAGGGAGAAAAAGAGGAAACAAGCAAAAAAGAGAGCAACATAATAAACGCAACACCATCGCATTAATCTAGCTAAATGTAAACCCATTTGGAAAAAGATATATATAAATCTTATAAACTTTGTATCTGTCTTGCATGAAACTTGTATGAAAAGCATACAAGAGTGAAAACGGATATAAGATCCCTTGAAAAATTATATAAATGAAACTTGTATGTTTTGGATACTTACTAAAACAATATATGAAAGTAATGTGAAAGTGGCCACTTTCATGAGTAAATCATATAAGCCTTACATGATTCACTATATGAAGTAAGCCAAATCTTATGCAAGTCTTTTATAAGTTTTTTCTATTTCTTTTCCATATGGGAATAACAGTAAATACTAAAGACCGATAGCGCACAATGTGCTTTGAGGTAGCAGCCAAGATAGGTGTAGTTTGTGTCTATGAACAGCGTATGCCCGTGTGCACACCTGTGTGGGTCAGCACTCTGTGGCTGGCTTATTGCAATAGGTTATCAATTATGGAAATTTTACTATGGTTATTTATGGTGATATAAGCTGATTAACAGTCAAGTTCATATTGCATATGAAAAATGTTTGTATATTTTGTGTTGGGGGGGGGGTACGGTGACACAGTGGTTAGCACCGTTACCTCACAACAAGAAGGTGCTGAGTTTGACTCTTCTGTTTTTTTAGCAGCAAGTAGAAAAAAACAAACCAACCCATGCTGTGGTTCTGCAAGAAAACAAACAAGTGTTTCCCACAGGGCCAAACATTTAGATCATTTTTACATTTAATACTAAATGGGTGTCTCTCCTATTCCAGTTTTTGTACCATATTTATGCTTCTGTATTTGTATTTGCCATAAAATTTTGAACTTAAGACATCATGTTTGTCTCAAGTAAGCTTATTTCCTAAAATGTTTTAAATTATTAGTGAATGTACTAATTAGTGCATGAATACTGAATAAAACAGCCTGGATTGTTTTGTTTTTTTTGCGTTTGAAACTTTGTGTCAGGGTCCTTAGGTCCTGGATCCACGGTTTTGAGTTTTTCTTTTGAGTTAATGATTTGCTTTTAAGAAATGATTTATATTTAGGTCTTTAGTCTTCTGATGGTAGTTTTGGGTTAGGGTTTTTTCTTTTTGCCTCAGGCACACACTTTAGTGTTTTTGTGCCTTTTCTAGCTTTTGTTTATTATAATTTTGTTAGTTCTCTTTGTGATCGCTGTTTGTTCCCCAGTTGTGTCCTATGTCTCTCTGTCTATAATCTCTCTCTGTTGTTTTCTGGTCTCGCTGTTTAGTTATGTCAAGTAAGTCGTGTCTCTGTGTCTGTTTATCTTTTCGTCTGTGTCTTTGTCTCTGTCTCAGTATTATGTTTCCTGTTCTGTTTTGACAGTCCCCCGTCTCATGTGTGTCATGTTTAGTTTTGCTTCCCCTTGTCACACTAGTTAGATTCTGCCAAGCTGTGTTCCCCAGGTGAATCCACTCTGCTTTGCGACCTCGTGTGTATTTACGCTCTAAATTCTCCTCAATTCTTTGTCATGTTGTCCCTTAATGTTGTGTGTCATTTGCCTTGTGTGTTCCCCATTTTCCTCGTAGTTCCTTAGTTTATAAGTTCCCGATTTCTTACTTCCCTGAGTTAGTATCAGTTTAGGTTAGCATCAGCAATATGTCCTGCACGTGGGTCCACTCCATGCCCACTCCACAGCCAAATTATGACACTTTGATGTTGCAGCAAGAATCTGTTCATGATGCTTAGAGCCCTGAGAAAGTTCAAAATTGCCTAACTGCTTTCGAAACCTCACACCCTCTGTGATTTTCCCCACCAGCAAGATCAGCCAGGCGTGTGCAGCTCCATTTCAGACACAGAACTAGGTTTGAAGTTGACCTCAGAGAATAAACCACAGCGAGCAGATGTTGCAAGCTGCTAAAGGCAGCATAGGAGACGATGTTGTATTGAACAAGCCTTGCAATGAAAAGTTGAAACATTTCTGTTAAAATGTGGTTTGTAACCTGTGCCCTACTGTATCTTGTACTGCAGCAGTGACTTCCGGAGGACAAACCATGATGTTTTTTTTTCTTTAGCTCTCCAGCAGATGAAAACAGTCTGCTTCCTCAACTGAACAATGAGCAAAATGTAAAATAGGCTCTCAATCAACACCCTTTTCTCACACTGTCTTTTTCAACTACTTGAAAAAGACAAGCAGTTAGTTTTGTTTTTGTTTTTGTTTTCTTTTTTAGAAAAATCATCCAAGAGAAGGGTTTAGGAGAAAAATAACAGAAGCGCACTAAACTTTGCACATGAATAGATCCAAATAGTCAAACTAAAAGTGAAAAAATTAACAAAGGATATTGCTTGAAGTTCTTAAGCTGACAACAAGTAGTAACCTCTTGAATGTGTAAACTAAAAAAAGCTTTGCAGCTGTCTTTTTTAAGCTTCAGTTTCTAATACAGCAACCATTCTTTTGGTGGTTGACGCTGTCATGCTGCAGCATAGGTCTAAATAAAACACGAAACCACTACTTCAACTAGCCTTTTCACCATCTGTCTCGCACGCAAAGCTTCACAAACATGTTAATGTTGGTTTATTGGTGAAGCCATACAAATTGTTGAACTACAGAAAAGTTTGTGAACAAACATGTTGTTCCTCTTAAAAAATATAGATCCCATTGTAAATCTAATACCAACTTTTGGAAATAGCAGGTCTTTTATCTACAGTTCTCGTTTTTCTTCCAAAAGGAGTCAAAAGAAAAGTAATACAGCAGAGGATCGAAACAGCAGTTAGAAACAGTAAGACACACCAGCGGCATGATTTCTTTGCCATGTGCAGCCATTCCTATAGGCACAGGTAAGAACATGGCAAACAAAACCAAGTTCATGACAAAGACCAGCATAACTTTCATCTTGTTGCTGACCTTTGCAGAGTCACTGAGATGTCTGTGCAGAGTCCAAGACACCATAACGGTGCAAACAATGTTGACTGTTAGCATTGTGACCAATAACACAATCTGAAGGTAAATAACTGCTAATCGAGTTTTACTCAATAAAAGCTTGTAAGAGTCATAAGATTTAAAACAGGTAGGTTGAGTGTGGTCCTGCAAATGTTCTAGAAAGTCCAAACTCTCTGGGATATTCACCACCAGCATAAAACTCCAGACGAATGCTGCTCCTTTCCAGGCATTGGACGAGGTTCTTAAATGGCGTGACCTCAGAGGATAAACCACAGCCAGCAATCTGTCCACACTGATGAAGGTGATAAACATAGCGCTGGAACGGATGTTGTCACGAAAGAGCATTGTAATGATGAGGCACGCCATATTGTTCAGAGGCCAGGTGCCTGTGGCATGAAAGTAGATCCTCATGGGCAAAGAGATGATGAGTAGCAGGTCTGAGAATGCCAGGTTGACCATGAAGACAGCGTGGGGTGATTTAAGGCTGTGGCGGCGAAGAAGAATCCACAGTGCGACTGCATTGAGAGGTAGACCTATCACCATCACGCAGCCAAAGACCCAAGCATAAACCTGTTCATCTTCTGTGGTGCTGTTTGATGTGTTCATGATGAGAAAAGACGTTCTTTTTGGTCCTTTATGAAGTATTGCAGCCAAGCAGCGAACATGTCCTTATGTGCTGTTCATTTGTGCGACGTGAGGGGAGCTAGTATGGAACAGGAAACTCTGGTTGTGGTTGCTGACGTAAATTAAGTTTGCTGTTTTCAAATGCAACACATGACACACCAGCTGTGATTAACAACTCTACTCATTAGGATATGAATTATGGCAAGATGAAAGTAAGAGATGATAATGACCAACAGCAGGTCTGAAAAAATCAGATTGCCCCAGCATAAACCTGTGTGGCCATAGTTAATGTTTAATGAGCTCATGGCGATAAAAGAAATATATACATACCCTTGATTAAAACTGCAGCTAAGCACAACACTCACACATGTATCTCTGTGGTCTTTAGCTGTGTCAAGTGAGATGACTGGAGAGGTTAAAAAGTCAAGTATTGCAACAGGAAATGTAATGATACAATCTAACAGTCGTATCACTTACGTAAAAGAATAAAACAATTTGTTTTTTACATGGTTTAGAATTTTTTATTAATTAATATCTTCTTATACAAAAAAACTAACATAGTTTTATAAGATCAAACAAAGTTTAGAAATAATTGACACGAATGGTTATTAAGGAATAAAAAGCCAGGGGATCAAATTTCATAGTAGAACTTGTAATAAACTGTTGAACAAGTAGTTCTTATCAATTTTTGTTCAATGCTGCAAGATGCTTTATATTTCTGGTTTCATATTTTATATATATATATATATATATATATATATATACACACACACACACACACACACACACACACACACACAATCACTTTTTTTTGGAAAATAGGAAAACCATAATATGACTTGAATTATAAGTTGAAATAACATGTCCTAAGGTCACTGCTCTCTTGTCGGATCCGCATCTTCTTTTTTCTTCCAGAAGCCATCAAAGGAAAAGTAATATAAGAATGGATCTAGACAACAGTTCACAGCACTAAGACATATCAATGGCTTTAATTCAGTAGGTTTAACTGTAACTACACCTACTGACAAAGGTAGGAAACAGATAGTAAACAAAACCAAGTTCATGACAAATATCAGCATTACGTTCATCTTGTTGCTGACCTTTGCAGAGTCACTGAGATGTCTGTGCAGTACCCAAGACACCATAACGGTGCACACAATGTTGACTGCTAGCATTGCGACTATTAACACAAGATATACATTTGCTATACCTTTAGTTAAACCTGGTTTCCTTTCAGGACTGAAATCAAAACACCAACTGTCGTTGGCACTTTTTGGAAAGTCCAAAGTCTCTGGAACATTCAATACCAGCACAAATAGCCAGACCACTGCTGCTCCTTTCCAGGCATTGGATGAAGTTCGAAGATGGCGTGACCTCAGAGGATAAACCACAGCCAGAAGTCTGTCCACGCTGATGAAAGTAATGAAGAAGGCGCTGGAGCATAGGTTGTTGCGAAAAAGCATTGTGATGAATTGGCACGCCTTATTGCTCAGAGGCCATCTGCGGGTGGCATGAAAGTAGATCCTCATGGGCAAAGAGATGATGACCAGCAGGTCTGATACTGCCAGGTTGACCATGAAGACAGCGTTGGGCGATTGGAGGCTGTGACGACGAAGAAGAATCCACAGTGCGACTGCGTTGAGAGGCAGACCTATCACCATAATGCAGCCAAAGACCCCAGCGTAAACCCTGTCCTCTGTAGTGACATTTGATGCGTTCATGATGAAGTTTCTGCCTCCTTATTAACTGAATTGCAGCTGAGCAGCAAACCTTCCACTCTCTGATGATTATCTGTGTGACGTGAGGGTAGATTAGACTAGGGAGTGTAAAATATTGCAACAGGAAATCTGGTGGTGCAATTCGATCGTGGCCACTGACGTTAATATTTATAACATTTTTAAATGAAATATCTTGTTTGACAAATAACAAACATACTTTTTATACAATCTGACAACATTTAGAACCAATACTATTAACATCCGTGGCCTAGGCTAACTGTAAAAGCTGTATTTTTCCCAACTCCCAATGAAAAACAGGTAGCATTAAAACCAGTTGCAAATTTTTACAATGTTTTTTACTATTTTACAGCTATAAACTAGTTTTACCATGAAAAAGACAAACCAAACAGGCTGCAGGTCTACACCAACGCACAAAAGTGTTTCCACAGTTACGGAGCCAGCTATTTCCTGTTTTTTCCAGTAGTTGTGTTATGAGCTCTCGATTTGGATTTTGCATAGAGACATGTAAACTTGAGACTTCCTGTTTTTCACAAATAAGCTTATTTCATAAAATGTTACAAATAATTAGCAAAAAGTGAATGAATTCTCATAAAACAGCCTAGATTCTTTTGCTATTTAAAGCTTTGATGATGCAGATTAACCTTTTTATGACTCTTAGAGCCTTGAGAAATTCAAGATTGCTCAAAAGCTTTCAAAACCTCACATCGTCTGTAGTTTCTCTACCAGCAAAATGAGCCAGACGAGCGCAGATCCTTTTCAGGTACAGGACAAGGGTCTAAGATGGCATGGCGTCAAAGGAAAAACCAGAGCCATCAGATGTTCCAAGCTGATGACGGGGATGAAGTTTTCACTGAGAGGATGTTGTTAAAGAGCATTGTGATGAACAGTGTGTGAAGAGTTAAAAAGTTTCACTTACAATGTGGTTTGTTTTACGTGCTTGACAGTATCTTGTTCTGCGGTATGGACTTCCGGAGGTCTTTTTTAAACTCTCCAGCAGATAAAGGCAGGTTGTTTCCTCAGTCGTCAAGTGTACAAAATGTACAATAAATCAGCTACAGTCCTGAAGCTTTAAATTTAAAGAATAGTTTTATGAAACTGTGAAGCTAACAAGTCTTTTCTCTATGTATCCCACTGCCTAAGCTTCACAAGTACATTTAACTGACAATTATTGTTGAGTTACTGGTGAAAATGTTGTTGGATTTTATTTATATAGCACCAATTCACAACGACAGTCACCCAAAGGTGCTTTATATTATAAAATAATATTAGAATGAAACCCCCAAAATTGCATGACTCTGATCAAACCTGTGGTAACAGTGGGTAGAAAAAAAGTCCCTTTCTAACAGGAAGAAACCTCCTACAAACCCAGGGTCAGGGAGGGCAGCCATCTGCCACAAATCATTTTGGGGTGAGTGGAAAGACAAGAAAGCAGAGAGAAGCAAGTCAAAAGACACACAATAGTACAATAAGCTCAGTTTCAGAACTTAGGAATTGGGATATTATGCTTGCACTAAATGAGCATTTTGTGCAATAACAAGTTAGTTCACCAAAAAAAAAAAAGAAAAAAATTCATGTCTAGCATCTACATTTCTCCTCCCTTCATTGCATCTTCCATTTTCTTCCAAAAGGAGTCAAAAGAAAAGTAATACAGCAGAGGATCATGGAACATGGCAAACAAAACCAAGTTCATGACAAAGACCAGCATAAGGTGTCTGTGCAGAGTCCAAGACACCATAACGGTGCAAACAATGTTGACTGTTAGCATTGTGACCAGTAACACAATCTGAAGGTAAATAATTGCTAATCGAGTTTTACTCAATAAAAGCTCGTAAGAGCCATAAGATTTAAAACAGGTAGGTTGAGTGTGGTTCTGCAAATGTTCTAGAAAGTCCAAACTCTCTGGGATATTCACCACCAGCATAAAACTCCAGACGGATGCTGCTCCTTTCCAGGCATTGGACGAGGTTCTTAAATGGCGTGACCTCAGAGGATAAACCACAGCCAGAGCATCGTAATGATGAGGTACGCCATATTGCTCAGAGGCCAGGTGCCTGTGGCATGAAAGTAGATCCTCATGGGTAAAGAGATGATGAGTAGCAGGTCTGAGAATGCCAGGTTGACCACAAAGACAACGTTTGGTGATTTGAGGTTGTGGCGGCAAAGAAGAATCCACAGTGCGACTACATTGAGAGGTAGACCTATCACCATAATGCAGCCAAAGACCCAAGCATAAACCTGTTCACCTTCTGTGGTGCTGTTTGATGTGTTCATGATGAGAAAAGACGTTCTTTTTGGTCCTTTATGAAGTATTGCAGCCAAGCAGTGAACATGTCCTTCTGTGCTCTTCATCTGTGCTACGTGAGGAGAGCTAGCATGGAACAGGAAACTCTGGTTGTGGTTGCTGACGTAAATTAAGTTTGCTGTTTTCAAATGCAACACATGACACACCAGCTGATATTAACAACTCTACTGATTAGGATATGAATTATGGCAAGATGAAAGTAAGAGATGATAATGACCAACAGCAGGTCTGAAATAATCAGATTGCCCCAGCACAGGGTTCGGCAACCTGCGGCTCCGGAGTCGCATGCGGCTCTTTAGTCCTTATACTGTGGCTCTGTGTGGTTTGGGAAAATAAATTAGATGTATTTAGCTGAAGTGCAGCTATTCTCCACCGTGAACTATGTTAAAAACAAACACCGCTCACGCCTCACAGATGACAACTTACAGTCCTGCGTAAAGATGAAAGTGAATTCGTACAGCCCCGATTTTGTGCAGAGGTTCGGGAGCAGAAGTCCCATTGTAAACATACTACGGCAGACCCGATGATGTTTGCATGTACAGTGGGGCAAAAAAGTATTTAGTCAGCCACCGATTGTGCAAGTTCCCCCACTTAAAATGATGACAGAGGTCAGTAATTTGCACCAGAGATACACTTCAACTGTGAGAGACAGAATATGAAAAAAAAATCCATGAATTCACATGGTAGGATTTGTAAAGAATTTATTCGTAAATTAGGGTGGAAAATAAGTATTTGGTCACCTCAAACAAGGAAAATCTCTGGCTCTCACAGACCTGTAACGTCTTCTGTAAGAAGCTTTTCTGTCCCCCACTCGTTACCTGTATGGATGGCACCTGTTTGAACTCATCATCTGTATAAAAGACACCTGTCCACAGCCTCAAACAGTCAGACTCCAAACTCCGCCATGGCCAAGACCAAAGAGCGTTCGAAGGACACCAGGAAAAGTATTGTAGACCTGCACCAGACTGGGAAGAGTGAATCTACAATAGGCAAGCAGCTTGGTGTGAAAAAATCAACTGTGGGAGCAATCATCAGAAAATGGAAGACATACAAGACCACTGATAATCTCCCTCGATCTGGGGCGCCACGCAAGATCTCATCCCGTGGGGTCAAAATGATCATGAGAACGGTGAGCAAAGATCCCAGAACCACACGGGGGGACCTGGTGAATGACCTGCAGAGAGCTGGGACCAAAGTAACAAAGGTCACCATCAGTAACACACTACAACGGCAGGGAATCAAATCCCGCAGTGCCAGACGTGTTCCGCTGCTGAAGCCAGTGCATGTCCAGGCCCGTCTGAAGTTTGCCAGAGAGCACATGGATGATACAGCAGAGGATTGGGAGAATGTCATGTGGTCAGATGAAACCAAAGTAGAACTTTTTGGTATAAACTCAACTCGTCGTGTTTGGAGGAAGAAGAATACTGAGTTGCATCCCAAGAACACCATACCTACTGTGAAGCATGGGGGTGGAAACATCATGCTATGGGGCTGTTTTTCTGCCAAGGGGACAGGACGACTGATCCGTGTTAAGGACATAATGAATGGGGCCATGTATCGTGAGATTTTGAGCCAAAACCTCCTTCCATCAGTGAGAACTTTGAAGATGAAACGAGGCTGGGTCTTCCAACATGACAATGATCCAAAACACACCGCCCGGGCAACAAAGGAGTGGCTCCGTAAGAAGCATTTGAAAGTCCTGGAGTGGCCTAGCCAGTCTCCAGACCTCAACCCCATAGAAAATCTGTGGCGGGAGTTGAAAGTCCGTGTTGCTCGGCGACAGCCCCAAAACATCACTGCTCTCGAGAAGATCTGCATGGAGGAATGGGCCAAAATACCAGCTACTGTGTGTGCAAACCTGGTAAAGACCTATAGTAAACGTTTGACCTCTGTTATTGCCAACAAAGGTTATGTTACAAAGTATTGAGTTATATTTTTGTTATTGACCAAATACTTATTTTCCACCCATTTACGAATAAATTCTTTACAAATCCTATCATGTGGATTCATGGATTTTTTTTTCACATTCTGTCTCTCACAGTTGAAGTGTACCTGTGGTGCAAATTACTGACCTCTGTCATCATTTTAAGTGGGGGAACTTGCACAATCGGTGGCTGACTAAATACTTTTTTGCCCCACTGTACATGCTTTTCAGCATCTCTTTACTGACCACTTTTCACACACGGTTGCTGTATGCATACAGCTGGTTTTGTGCCAAAAAGTGATTGTCTGCCAAAAACTGATTTCCGGTATTTGCCAAAAACTTATTGCTTGTATTTAGACTGTTATAAATAACTTTTGGTGTATAATATGTGAAACATATGTCAAATATATCCCTCATTAATAACATCACATCGTCTTGAGCAATAAACAACATTCCTGTAATAAGGTAGAAGCCGCAATCAGTTTTTGGCAGTGAGTTTTATGTATCCTTCATTTGTGCATCCATCCATCCATTCGCTTCCGCTTATCCTTTTCAGGGTCGCAGGGGTCGCTGGAGCCTATCCCAGCTGTCATAGGGCGAGAGGCGGGGTACATTAAAAATGTCTCTTTTAAGAGTAATCTGGCCAAGAGGACAGCTGAAATTGCAACAAATGCAAAAATAGTTCTGTAAATATATTTTAAGTTGACAAAAGGGAGCTGATTGATTATAATGTAAGTACAATAAGAGAGTCACAAAGATACTTGAGAAACAGGTAATTTTTAAATTTTATATATGACCCCTTTGTAATACCTGTTTACCA